CATTTTCTTCTTGTTTTTGTTGTCATTTTCTTTCATTTCTTCCTCGTGTCGTACGTTCAATTCTCTCGGGATTTTTTGTTTAAAATGAAGAAAATTGAGTAACATAACCGAGAATTCTCCCCCTCCCTTCTCCTCCTCTACCTTTCCCCTTTTTTCCTTAACAAAATTGAGAAAATGCTGGCAGACATTTGGAAAGGGAAGACTGTTGTTGTTGTGTTTTCCCTTATTGGATTGAAAAAAGAAGGTTGGTTGACTTTAACCACAAAGCCAATCTGCAGTTAAAAAAATAATTATTGAGAGAAGAGGAATAATAATCCCGTGTAATCCTTTAATTATTACTTTTCTTTAGGAAATAGTCGAGAATTTAAATAAAATTAAAAAATAATTAAAATTGCTTGGAAAAAAATTAAATTTTGTTTTGATAGTAAGAAAAATTAATTTTAAATTTAATAAAATAATAAATAAATTTTTAAATTTTTAAATAATTTTATTTATTGAAATTAATTTAAAATGACTTTTTACTTTTTAAAAAAAGTAAGCTATTTTTCAATTTATTATTCTGTTAAATAATAATCTTCCACAAAATGTTTTAATAATATTTTTTTGCTTTTAAAAGCTAACTCAAAAAATTACTCCCCGTGGGACATAGATTAAGATATTCTGTTTAGGAGATAATAATAAGAGAGAATAACTACTAATTATTTTTAAAATTTAAGATAATTACTTCGATTTGCCAACAAATACCCCGATTGTCTGATTTTATTTTTCTCGTTTTTTTCAAATAAATTGAAACTAACTTTATAACAAAAATGGATATATAGACATTTAGGTATTTTGAATTTAACTTTCTCTATAAATTATTTAAGAGAATTGAAACAATTTAAATTTTATTTCATAAATAAGGAGATTTATTACTCAATTATTTATTTTTTAAAAATTGCTAAAAAATTAATATTTCCTTCTTCAATTCTCGTTAATTCCTTCAAATTTCTTCTATTATATTCCCCTTAAAAATACTAAAAACAGTGGGTGGCCGAATTCGGGAATGCAAATTAAATTGATGATGAAAGAGGTAAATGACAGTCTTTTGACTGTGGCAGTCTTCTAGCATTTATATATTGGCACTTAATTTACATTTTTATATATTAAATAACTCATCAAAATATTATCAACTAATTTATTTAATTATTCTAATTTATATATATCAAGGGAATTTGAGTATTGATATTTAAAAAATATTTTGTGATTAAGGAAAGTATTTTGAAGGAGATAGAAAATTAGGCTAAAAGTTTGGATATACTTTTTGGGAAATAACTAAAAAATATCCATCAATTTTCAGAAACCCCAAAAAGAAAATAAAAAATTCCATTAATTTATTTTTGTGTAAAAAATGAAGAGAGCGGTCTTTAGTGAAGATTGGAATTAATTGAATAAATAATTTAAATATTTGGTTTACTGTAAAATTGGGAAGTAAATGTGTAAATGTTGCGTGTCGAGAAATAAATGAAAATAAATATACTTTATTTATTTAATTTATTTTTAAGTAATTACTGAAGAAATGAATATTTTAAAATTTAAGGTTTGGTATTGAAAAACTAGATTACAGTTTATCGCCTGCAAATGTTCTATACCAGGGATGTCACGGGTTGAGAAAAATGTCGGGTCTGGTTTCGGGTCATGTTTCCAAAATTTTTCTCAGATCGGGTTTCGGGTTTCGGGTTGAGCAAAAAGTCGGGTCGGGTTTCGGATCGGGTTTTCAAAATTTTCTTCGGATCGGGTTTCGGGTTTCGGGTCGAAAAAAGTCCCTTTTTCAGCGCCGCAGGCGAAAATTTTCAGAATTTTGGAAGTCATTAAGCTAAAAATCTTCCCTTTTTCAGCGCCGCAGGCGAAAATTTTCAGAATTTTGGAAGATCATTAAGCTAAAAATCTTCCCTTTTTCTGCGACGCGGGCGAAAATTTTGAAAAAACTCGGGTCGGGTTTCGGGTCGGGTTTTGAAAAATAAAAATTCTCGGGTCGGGTTTCGGGTCGGGTTTTAGAAAATTTCTCGGATCGGGTATCGGGTCGAAAAAAAGGCCGGGTTTCGGGTTTCGGGTATCGGGTTTCGGGTAACCCGTGACATCCCTGTTCTATACCTAAAAGATCAAAGTCGGAAGTATTTTCCTTTTAAAATGCCAAAATATAGTGATTATTTTTGACATAATTTTTAAAACAAAAACAAAAAAGTTCTTTACCTACTTTCCAACTAAAGGTGTCACATTTCGCGCATCGAATACTAAAACAACTCAAAATTATTTTCCCTGCCCTTTTTATGAGTTCCGCCTCTTTAAAGTTAAATAAAGTTGATGACCGTTCTTCTAAAAATCCCGCAGTGAAAATGTTTAGTTTTAAATAAATTTTTATATTTTACTTAAGAAATTTACCGCCATTCATTAACGGTGAAAATAACGGTGAAAAACATAACAATTAGTAATTGTTTGTTTATATAAAAATAAAACAAAAATTTAAAATTAACAAATTCTTTGAAAATGTGTCACTGTTTCAAATTATATATAGAAAAACATCCAGATTTATTCGAAGGTTTAGAAGAAAATTAAATAACCGATTCAAATATTAATTTTTAAATGAATCATGGATTTATCCAGAGGTAGTCAAAAACGCTTTGATCAAATTATTTATATCAAACTTGGTTAAAATTTGATTTTAATGTCATAAAACTTCATTGGCATGGTCCACATATTTTATTAAAATATGAAAGGAAATGCGGACGATTAAATGGTATTAAAAAAATAAATAACTTTAAAATTTTAAAATTAAGGTTTAAAAAAATAATTTTATAAAAAAATAATTTTTGTGACTAAATATCTTTAAATTTTTTAAAAATTAAATAACAATACAAAAAAGCGGCAAAACATATTAAAGTTAAAAAGAACAAAAACAAAGAAAAAATAATAACGCTGAAAAAAAGAAAATAATAATAAAGAAGAATATAAAAAAATTCGAAAAGGCAAAAAATTTTTATTTTCGGTCATTTTGCGCAATCAAATTATTTTTAGTTTAGTTATCCCGAATATATTTTTGATGTTGTAATTTGACATGACTTTTCTTTTATATAAAAAATATTTTTCATACAAAAATAAAAAAAATAAAAATAATTCGAAACAATCTCTTTCTAACAGATAATATACCTTGTTACAAACCCCACCTACTAATTTAATCCCATTTTTGTCCTTTTTTCTAGATTTCAAGATTTTATGGTGGAAATAGTACTAGAATCATTTTAATTTTTATAAATTCTTCGAAAAAATTTTTGTAAGAAATTCAACCTTTAAATATCGGAAATGTAATTTAAATTTTTTGATTTATCTTTAAAAAAGGAATATTCATTCGTAAAAAGTTTTTAAAAAACTGGACAAGGATGGGATTAGATAAAATAAAAAAATTAAATGAGCATTCAATTTTGAAACAATTAGAAACAATATTCCAATAAAAGAGAAAAAAATGTAAAAAGAAATATTTAAAAATATGTTTCAGATATTGCAAAAAATTTAGAAAAAATATAAATATTTGAGTAATTAATTAATTTAAATGCAATACCAATTAATTTAACATCCTCTAGACAAACTAAATATTTTTTGGTGATTTCAATAATTAAAAAAATAAAAAATCACAAAATTTAATTAATTTCCCCTTCATTAAATTCTAAAAAATCCTCCAAAAATTCTTCATTATTTTCAAAATAATTTTTATTTACTAATTCTTTTTCATTATTTTCATTAAATTCATTTTCTTTTCTTTCAATAGCTATATTTTTCAAAACAAAATGTCCAATCAAAAAACAAAATATTCCAATAAAAGTAATTATATAAATAATATTATAAACTTAAAAAATAATAAAATTTATGAAAATATTTTAAAAATTATTAAAGAATTTTTTAATAATCTAAAAATTTCTTTACAACATTTAAATAATAAATGAACATTTTTAAATTTAAAAACGTTTAATATACTCGACAACTAATAATTAATTTAAGTATCCCCAACAGTTTCCTTAAATTCTTCAATAAATTTTTAAAAATTTGATTGGCTACTGAGCAATGCCTAAATGCTATCCCCAATTTAATGGTAACCTTTATTATAATTTATGGATATCTAAAAATTAAATTAAAATTCCGATTTAAGGATACCCTCATTATAAGATAAGTTTTTTAAAAATAAAATTAAAATAATTTTATTATACTTTGCCATTCTTCATTTATCCAATTAAATAAATAAACAAAAAATATACTTCCAACAATTAAAGGTACAAATAAAAATTGACCAAATGTTAATTTTGAAAATGAAGAAAAAATTAAAGGAAGCCACTAAATTTATTTTTAAAATTAATTTTAATTTAAAAACCTGAATTATTAACAAAATTAAAGGAGTAAAACATAAAAAGGCGTAGAAAATAAAGAATTTTGTAGACCAATTGAAATTACATTTCTAGTAAATTAATTTAAAAAGTATTTATTTTATTTAAATATTTACATTAATTTGTTTAAATTTATGTGACAATTCTGGTAAAGGCCCTGTTTTAGGTGATCTGTCTCGGGGTGTATATGTTGTTGGTTCATTCACAAATAACTTACGACGCTTAAATTGAAAATAAATTTAGAAAGGGAAATATTTTAAAATTAAATAAAATTAATAAATTAACAGAAATTAAAGACAAAAATTTAGATTACAATAATTTGAGACTGTATTCAGAATTGAACACCTTACAGTATGTTCCACCTTACAGTATGTTGCAATGCACCTTTGTTTTATATGCTTTGTGGATAGAGGGAAAATCCAAAAAAAAATTTCTGAACATCTCTATCAACATAGATAAAATGAAGTTCTTATGTACTTCCATCATCGAGATCTCGAACTCCAAAAATCAACGGAAAATCAAGGCTGAGGTTAAATTTTGGAACATTCTGTATTCAATTCTAAGTTTATTCAGAAATTATTATTTTAATTATTGTATTTCTATCGAGTACTCTATTTGAGACAATTTAAAAAAATTCCCAACCTTTGGAATGTCAACAAAAACATCAATTAAATGCCAACGAAAGGGATTTTTAATTCTAATATCCCCAATAATCAATTCACAATGATAACGTCCTGGACGACCACCAAATTTTTGTGTGTCTTTAGGCATTGCCTAAAAATTATTTTCCTTTTTAAAATTAATTTAAAAATAGAAACAATTTCAATAAAATATTTCCCTCCTCCATTATTTGTTGTTGCTCTTTTTCCAATAAAAAATACTTCATGTTCTTCTGTTTTTGAATGCCATAAACGTAAAAATTTTTGTTGAATTCCTTTTTAAAAAATTAAATTTTAAACCAAAAAATTAATTAATTTAAAGACCGTCAATTAATTTTTTAGTATTTTTGTCAATAATATTAAATTGTAAATTAATTGCAAGTTTTTCTTCTAATCTAATTCCTTTCGAATATTTTTCATTTTTTTCTGAAGGAATTCTAAAATGTTTAATTTAAATTTAAAATAATTGTTATTTAATTAACGTGAAATTCCCCAATTGTTTCCCACTTTGCCATTCACGAACTTTCATTTTAACATTTTCTAATTTTATTTCATCATATTTTTCCTCATTTTCATTAAAAGAATTATTCTTTTTTATAAATAAAAAAATAAATAAAATGTTTAAATAAATTAATAAATTTTGCATTTTATTTAATAAAAATTAAATATTCCTTCTTTTTAACAGAAATATTTATTTTAAAAAATTTAAAATTCAAAAATAATTTTTAATTAAAAGAGGATAAATAAAATCTTAATCAATTTATTTGCCATTTTCATTCCCCCCTCTCTCTCCCCACTTCTCTCTCTCTTTCCCCAATCACAAATCTAAATCAATTATTTTGCCAACAAAACAGTCCGTCTGAAAATGCATGTGCCACATTGTTTAAACAATAATAACATCTTTTAAATTGTTTTTCTAGATTTTGTAGCATTATTTGTTTGACTTATATCAATTAATGAAGATACTTTATCCATTAATGAAGATATCCATTAATGAAGATACATTAAAGAAATAATATTAACTTAAAGTAGATAAAATTATTAGATTTTATTTAAATTGAAGAGTTGTTAATTTACATTCTAATTATGTAATAAATATTTTTTATTATTAGCGAAAAAATTATTTTTCTAAACTTAGATTTGCTATATTTTGAATTGGATATATAGCTAAAATAGTATTGAAACTGGTAATGGGTGATAGAAATATTAAATTTGTAGAAATGTCAAACAGACAAATTACACAAAATGTCTGATATGTACATAGTTTTAAACAAAAGTCTCATATTTTAATTATAAACAAAAATCAAAGTTGCTACTTTAAATCTACTTTTATGCGAAACAAACAAAGAACAAATTAAAAAAAAGAAAAGATCTAAAGACAGAAAAGTAAACAAAATTATGAAATTTTTTAAAATTGTATTTTCTAATAAAGAAATTAAAGAGGAAACTTTAAAACTTATAAATTGAACTTTTTAATCAGATAATAACAGTGCTAAAATACAGACTAGCTACTCGCCAAAATCAAAGCTTTGATTAAATATCTATTCTTATATTTGAAAAATTAAATCAGAAAGATCAAGCAGTAATGCTCCGGTTCTGGAAACCAGTTCTCAAAACCGGGATTTGAATAGCCAGCAACCGCAAGTAAAACCATTTCAGTGTTGGAACCAATGGAACTTGTTCTGGGATCCAGAAAAGACTGATAAAAGTGAATTTTCCGTGCCTTCGGCAACTTAAATTATAAAATTTTCGTCTGAGGAGATTAAAAGCATATCAACTACATATGTAGGTAAGATATACGATTCTCTGATTAACGTTTTTCAAACAAAATGTGATTCGGTATTTGCATACGTTTAAAGACTAGCAAATTTCTTCCTTTTTTCTTATCTTCTTTTTTAATAGACATTTCCAGAATTAGTTTTTTCCACGTTTGAGAGAATGTTTAGTGAAATACACAATCTCAATGGTTCCTTCCGCATAATCTCTATTTGCAAATTTCTTAATATTCATATTCATTTCAGGCTTAAATAATAAAAGATAATAAAATGATTAAAAATATATAAACAAACCCAATTAGTATAATTGTTCTTCTCAACAACTCCACCATTAGCAAAACAATGTTGTCCATTCAAACCATAATTGACTACATGGGTGATAAAAAAATTAATTGTTAAATCTAAATTGCAATTATCCGGTGTTTTAATAAAAACACCATTATTATTTTCCAAAATAAATTCTTCAGAATTTTCTGTTCGGATTACTTGATCTCCTCTTTCAATTGTTGAACAAAGCATGCGAACACAGAAATGGCTATATTCATGATTAAAAACTTGGTGAAAAATATTCATATTTGAAACGGTTCCCTTTATATTTAGAAAGAATTTTTTGCTTTCAACAATTGAACAAAAATGTACAAATATAAGAAAGTAAAAAGGAATTAAAGTTTTAAACATTTTTAAATTCTAAATAAATAAAAAAGAAAATTTTTTTAAATAAATTTTAATTATTTGATTTTTTTTTTCAAAAAAAGGCGATATTTATTTTTAAAAATATTTAATATTAAATGGCATTCGATGCGCATACATATGTATGTATTTTTAAATGAAATTAATCGAATAAATGCATATAATTTTTTGATAGATGTGTTTTGATGATTTTTAGATAAATCAATTTATTAAATAAAATTTTTATGAAATCAAAAAACGAAAGGAAATATTTTTATGTAAAATATTTCTCCGAAAAGTCGAAAATGTAGTACCTGTTAGACCGGTCGAAAAGTTTTCGAAAATATAAGAATTTTGAAAAACGCTGAAACATGTCAACTGAGTTAGAAATTAAGCTATTTTTTAACATTAAGATCTTGCAAATTTCTTAACAGCCGATCAAACTATAAAATTCAACAAATTGGTGCAATACTTATGAGCGGCAGTGTAAATAAATTTCATAAAATTTTAAATAATTAGGGCCCAAATAAATATTCACTACAACACACCCCGCTTTGTGAAGAATACTAAGAATAACCTTATACCAAAATTAAAAATTTCTATCTTGATAAAAACAATTTAATCAAAAGATAAAAAATTTCTAAACAAAAATGAGCATTGAGAGAATCTCAGGAACTATTTAATTTTCAAAAAATAATTTTTAAATTTTCAAAATCCTAAAAAAATACCAAATATACACAAATTATAATAAAGATAAGCAAATTTAATTTTAGAAATTTTATTTTTAATAAAAATATTTTAAAAAGTTATATATAAGTATTCAAATATATTTTTATTTATTTGTTATTTTGAGGTTAATCTACATGCAAAAACCAATTCAACAAGAAAAAAAAGAATTTTCTTATAAAAGAACGTTCTACAAAAAAAGACCTTAGGGAATAAAAAAACAAAAGAAAATAAAAATAAAAACAAGTAAGTGATATGCTTTTAAAAATAAAAGAAATTGTTTTATTACGTTAAATTTTTTACAACTTTAAATATTTTTATTTATTTTTACTTTATAAATAAAAATTTTTTATTTTAATAGTAAAATTCTATTCCATTGAAAATAAATGTATGTACATATATGTAAGTGAATAAAAGGTTCACAGTTCGAGTCAAGTCCTAACAAACAGTCAAAACTATTATTATCGTTATCTTTCTAGCTAAAGATGATTAGTTCTGTGTGAGCTAATGATCTTTAGCTAGAGCTAGAAAGATGATTAGTTAATCATTCTAAATATTTCTGTCTATATATCCCTTCATTATTCAAAATTTGTATTTTTCAATAATAATTTGGATTATTTATTCAGCAAAATATTTCTTAAAATTTTATTAAAAATATATTTTAGAAATGTATCGTTTAAATAATCGTCGTACAACACTTCCACAACGTCTTTCATCAAATAGCCCAATGACAATGAGAGAATTAGAAAGAATTGCTCTTTTACGCAGAAATAGAGGAAGTAGTAGAAGCAGTTATGGAGGGGGAAGTGTTACTACAACTTCTTTTAATGATTCTAAAAGATGGAAAAATTATGGAAATTTAGAGGTTAGAAAGTTTTTTTAATGGAAAAATAAATATAAAAATAATAATTTAATTATTTGAATTGAGAGCTATTTTATATCTTTAATTGTTCATATTGTTATTTATTTAATTTTAAATATAATTTGATTAAAAATATCAGACATTTGATCATTAGATTAAAAAAATTATTTTAAAGATCTATTCTTAATGTTCAAAAATAATTATTTGAATATTTAATTTAATTATTCAAAAACAAATTTAAAATTAAAAAATCCCCTCCTTCCTCTTGTATCCATCTCCAAAAATTATTTATCTTACTCATTTTTTGGTTATTCACTTTTTTTCTTAAAAAATTATAAAAAACATTTTGTAATTTGTTTATTCATACGTGCAAAGTGCTACTACCCTTAAAATAATAATTATTTATTTATTGCCATTTAAATTTTAAAATCTTTATTTCGTTTTATCAAAAAATCAATTTATTTTGTAAAATATTGAAGTACAAAATGGAATTTTTAATAAATATTATATGTCAATGTTCTTAAATCCAACTATAATCAAATAATTAAATTCTCTCAGCTTATTTGTTTTTATATTTCTTATTTTGTGATCACAATTTTTCTTTCCAAATTGTCTAACAAATATTTAATTTTTTAATTTTTAGGGTTGCCCATTACCAATTATTAATTAATATACTTCCAGTTTTGGGTTTAATCAAATAACAGTTCGAGGTGAAAGGGCGGTACATATTTCACTCATTTATCTTTTTCTAATCCTAATTATAACTACTGTATTGAGTGATTTTATTTAAAATTAAAAATATATAATTTTTTAAATATTTTTTTTCCACAATTTTACAAAATTAAAATAATAATAATAATAATTTAAAAACAAAAACATTCCTTTTTCTCATTTTTTAATTTAAATATTCATTTAAACAGACACATTTTCTTTTAAAAACATTTACTTACTTGCTCTTTTACCAATTTATTTTTACTTTTGCCAACCTTTCCTCCTTTCTCCAAAACTCAATTCATTTTAAATAAATGGGAATGGGGACCTTTTTGAGTGAATATACCTCTAAATAAATATGTGTGTGGGGGATAGGGGAGGGAGGAGGGATGAGGGGGGATAAAAATAGTGAGAGATATACTTAGTCAAAAGCCAAAAAAATTTTTTTGGAAAGTTTTTAAAAGCAACAAACACGAATGAATGCCATTCCTTTATTTTACTAAAATTGGCATTCTAAAAAGGAAATTGTGGGAGGATAGAAAAAAATATTTAAAGTCTTCAAAAAAATAATTACAAAATTCATTTTAAGAATATAGTAAAAGTAATATCCATTCGACCTCTCATTTCCTTTAAATTGGGAAATAAATAAGAATTGGCTTTTTTAATAAACTTTTATTTAAAAGTTCAATATTATTCTAAAAATAAATTTAAAAACCATTAAAAGATAAAATGCAACTTTTTATATTACTTATCTCTTTAGTCCTTTACAGAAATTTCCATAAAATCTGTATTTTATTTAATATGATTATTTATTTTAATTTAAATTAATTATTAAAGTATATTTATTTAAATGGAATCTTTTGATCAACACGGCACACCAGCAAGTCAAGGTACAACTGCACGTGCCGGAACTTCAACAACAATTAGGAGTGGTGATGAGGAAAATTATTCTTATGGTGAAATAGATGAAGGAGGAGAAGATGCTAATCTTAATTCTCCTGAAGGAGAAAGTATATACTTGAATATATTTTTTAAATAAAAATTAAATATTCTCCAAAAATTACTATGTTCTCAGATTATCTGGAAATTGTTTAAAAATTCCACATAAATTGTTTTTATTATAAAATTTTCAATATTTTCTTTCAAAAATTCACAAATAGTAGAGCAACAGCAACAACAATCCCCTCAACAAAACCCTTCTCATAGCCAACCAACTTCAGCACGTCCAACTCTCTACCAAAAACGTTCAACTCCTTCAGCAGGCGTTGTTGGTGCTGTAGTCCAACCATTATATAGTGGACCTACACCTGCACGTTTATTTAAGAGAACATTATCTGAACAACAATTTGGGGTAGAAAGAAACATTTTTTGTTCAAATTTATATTCTTAAATACTTTCTAAATGCTTCTAATTATTTTATTGTTTTATTTAGCTCTTTAATCCTTTTTTTAATTTCAATAATTAATATAAATTGAAATTATCATAAATTTAATAAAAAAATTTTTTTTAAGAATCGCCCAATCTCGGAAGTTCCTCCAACAATTTCATCTACCGCACAACAAAGCAAAAGTTTACCATTAACATCACAACGAAGTATCCCAGAAAGTATTCATTCAATTCAACAAAAACGTAGAAGTCCCTCAATTATTGACTTAAGCGGTAATTTAATAAAATTATTAAAAAATATTAATACATATTTTAGTTAAAGTAAAAGAAGTTAGTCAATCAGTAAAGAATGCAGCAGAAGATGAATTACGTTATGAATTAATTCGTTTTGCAGCTAGAACAACTGCTCACGGAATTCCTATGGTAAATATTTTGGAACATTAAGTTATCCTCAATATTCACTTTTTTGACTTGTACTTGGCCTAAATTATAATTATTTATCCGCCTATTCTAATTTCAACTAGTTTTCTTTGTATTTAGCGATAATAGTGAATGAGAGAATTTTAATTTAAAATTTATTTTATTATAAATAGGCAGCTCAAGCAACTAAGTGGTATGCCAAATGGATGTGGATAATTATATCTTTGTTGTCTGTTGGTATTTTTATTTATAGCGTTCTTGGTGTTTTAGAGAAATATCAAAGAAGAGAAAAAATTGTTTCTGTTCAAGTAAAATTATTTTTTTTTAATATTTAATTTTAATTTAAATAAAGCTTCGTTTTGATAATGTCCCATTCCCCGCTATTACTATTTGCAATTTAAATCCTTTCAAAAGAGAAGAAGCAAGACATGTACCCGAAATTAGTGAAGTAATTTAAAAAGTATTTTTGTTTTTAAATAATAATTATTTTGAAGACATTAGAAGCATATCATCAAGCAGTAACTTATTCAAAACATGCAGACCTTTATTTAGATGAAACCCCGGCAGTTCGTGAACGTAGAAATATAAGGGGTATATTTTCTATTAATTTTTGAAAGAAAAGTTTGTCTCTAAGAAAAAATTAGAGGGGATTACTAGATTAATTTAAAATTTAAAAATAAAGGCGGCCATCGTCATGTACAAATTGAACCAGTAATGTCAGACTGTGAATGTTTAGAGGGATTTAATTCTGCTGGAAAACACGATTGTGCGCAATTAGATTCTATACCTAAAGTTTTAAATTAAATAAATATTTGTAAATTAAAATATAATAGGATAATGTTTCTTTATGTATTTGTAATTATGACAGACAAGATTCTAGTATATGGCCTTGTTATAGTAAAACGTAAATATTTTTTATAATTAAAAGGAAATAATAATTTTTTATTTTTATAGAAGTTGGATTGAAGAATGGTGTCCAATATGCAACGGTAAGTTAAATTATTGTGATTATTGTGATTCTAAAAATTTTTGAAAATAATTTTTCGAAAAAACTCTTAAATAAATTATTTATTTCAAAAAAACTTTAAAAATAAATTAAAAATAAAGATATTGGATATTGTACTTTGCCAAATACAAATACTTCAAATACAGTACCTTGTATATGCCAAAAGGTAATTTACTAATTATTTAAAAAAATATTTTTAAACTAAAAGAGTGTTAATTATTGTTTGATTCGACCAGAAAGATTAAAAAGAATGTGGGAAGTCCGTGGAGATAAAATACCCACAGAAGATTCTCCTTTTCGGACAGATTTTCTTAATCAATTAAAAGAATTGGGTTATGAAAATATGACGGATGAAGTTGCTATTACAACAAAAACTAGAGAAAAGTAAATTCAAAATTAAATTAATTTCAAAAATAATTTATATTAAAAAAGACTTGTATTGGCAATGGCAAGTCTTCATAAAGAACAAAGAAAATCGCTTTCATATGGAAGAAGTGAATTTATTAAAATGTGTTCATTTAATGGACAACAATGTAATATAAATCACGGTTAGATTCTTTTAGGAAAAATTTATTTTTCAAATATTTTACTCAGATTTTAAATTACATGCTGATCCAGCATTTGGAAATTGTTATATGTTTAATGCTAATAAATCAAATCCTTTGGTTTTTAGAAAATATTTATTTAAATAATTTTTATTTTTAGGTTAGTAGTCGAGCTGGACCTTCATATGGTTTTTGAATTCTTAATACAAATTAAAAAAATTTTTTAAAGGACTTAGATTACTTGTACACATTAACACCTCTGATTATTTACCTACAACACAAGCTTGTAAATAAATTGAAAATTAATTTAGATACAGTCAGACTTAACTATTGTGTTAATTTAAATTTGCAAAAGTTCATTAAAAATTTTCTTAGATAGTTTGCTAAGGAAAAGCATCTAAGAGATACCCTTATTTTGTGAGATATTTTTATATTTGGACCTAACTAGTTAGATATACCATGTAGTTAGGTCCAACTGTAATAAAAATATTTTTTTAAAAACTAAACTATTTTTTAAGCTGGTGTTCACATAGTCATTCACAGTCAAGATGAGCATCCCTTTCCAGATGCTTTTGGATACTCTGCCGTTAGTTGATATATTTTAACTATGTATAATCAAATAAAATTATTTTAGCCAACAAATCAACTTTCTTCTTTTGGCATATCTTTAGTAAAAAATTAAAAAATAAATAAAAATAAATTTTTAAAAATATTAAGAGAAAAGTAAATCGACTGCCCATTCCTCGTGGTATTTGTTTAATGCCTGGGGAGCCTAAACCCGAAGGTTATATCTACTCAGATCATAAATATGAACCTGAGGGTTGTTATAAAAGTTGTTATCAAGTAATTTAATTAAATTAATTTTTAATTTTAATTTAATTAAGCATCAAATAATTAGAAGGTGTGGATGTTCTGATCCAAGATATCCCCAACCAGATGATAATACTAAAGTTTATTTAAATATTTAAAATATATATTTTATTTATTTTTAAAGGTTTGTAATAGTTCTAATGCTCTTGACAGTAATTGCCTTTTGGTGGAAAGTATAAGATTTACCCGTGCTCAACAATGTCATTGCAAACATCCTTGTGTTCATGGTAGGAATATATTTTAAAAATTTAAAAGAGAGAAAAAAGGGGTAATCATTGGCTTACTGTAAAGGGGTAATTAATTGAGGTAGGGTAATTAATTGAGTTTTGAAATTTATGGGCAGTAGGGCATTTTAGCGTGAGGATTATTATTTTTTAGAACTCATGATAGAGGGTTAATTAATTGAGGATTAATTGTGGTTGCCGGTTTGTGAAACCGGAAAACACATACATATATTCAGATAGGGCCAAGAATATTTAAATTAAAATTCCTTAAATATGTAGATGTTTACACAACAGCATTTTCTTCTGCACGTCTAATCTCTGAAGCATTTCGTAGTTTTCAATGTTCGGGTAAGAGGGAATGCAAAACAGAATTTGATGCGTATGGAAGATATAAATTTCTATTCAATTAAAAAATCTTTTAGTGATTCTGCTGCAATGCTTGAAATATATTACGAACAAATGTCACATGAAGTACTTACAGAAAGCGAATCTTATATGTTTGTTAATTTTATTTCTGATATTGGAGGGCAAGCTGGATTGTGGTTAGGTGCTAGTATTCTTACACTATTTGAGGTATAGTTTATTTAATTAAAATTATTTTTAAATTAAATATTAATTAAAAATAAGTAAATTGTATAGAGTTGAAATTCCCTTAGTTTTTGATTATTTTTGAAATTTTTAATAATTTTTTCTCCACCGAATATCCTAATTCCTTTAAATATTTTAAATAAAAATTATTTTTTAAAGCTTTTTGTCTTCGCTTTTCGCATTTTTACAATTGTTTGCCGTCGTCGCCTTCGTCGAAACACAATTGATTTTGACATCGAAGATGACGATTTAGAACAACAACAAAAAAGGTCAACATCCAAAGGAATCCCTTCTTCGTTTACAACAACCCCAAAACATTCTCAAATGCGGAAATCTGCTTCTTCTTTAACTTCTTTAAGTATTAGAGCTTCGGCATTAGATGCTAAAGTACAGGCAGCAAAAAGTGAAAGAAATACATCTTTGGGGTCTTTAAATTTGGCATATCAATCACCTAAAACAAGAAAAGTAACGGCTGAGCCATTTTCTTCGGTATCTAATAATTTTTATATAAAAATGTAAAGCTTAACAAATTTAAATGAAAGTAATGGAGGAGGGGTGGGGAGGGGAGAGGGCTCATTTTCCTTTCAGTTTTAAATTTAATTTTAATTTCCACTGTAAACTTAAATTAAATTTCCCTGCGTTTCAATTTTTAAAAATATTGTAAATTATTTCCTTCTTCTTTTTAGAGATCCGCTCGAAAGCTAAGTAAACAAACATCATTTGCTGTAACGGAAGATGAGGAAGAAGAGGAAAATGGAAATATTGAAGAGGGTTATTATGACAAACAATTAACTCCAAGTAGCGATGAAAGAACTCTTGGTAAAAATAAATCAGTGGAAAGTATGGGGACTTCAACCACTTCAAATAATAGTTATGTTGAAGGAGGAGAAATGAATAATAATAATAATTCTTCAAATAAAATAAAATTAAAAAATTCACCAAAAAAGGATACAAAAAATAAAAAAGAAATAAAGAAAAAGGAAGATAAGAAGAAAGAATTGAAGAAAAAGGAAGGAAAGAAAAAAGATAAAAAGAAGAAAAAAGTTGTAGAAAATCCCTATGAAGTTTTAGTTTAAAAAATGGTTAAAATAAATAGATGACGATTTTTTGAATTATTAGAGAATATTTAATTTTTTGTTTATTAAATGGTATCACGACTTTTGCGCCGAGAACATTTGCGCCGCGACATATGCGCCGCGACATTTGCGCCGCCATTGTTTAAAAAATCCGGATCCGAAAAATGCCGGATATCCGAAATTTTCAGTTCGGATATCGGATCCGGATATCCGAAGATTTCCAACTATCCGACAACCCTACTAAAGTGAGGACCGGCTGTAGTTATTGATATATTTTTAATGATAGTGGCGGCGCAAAAGTCGCGGCGCAAATGTTCCCCGGCGCAAAAGTCACTCGGCGCATAAGTCGCGGCGCAAAAGTCGCGGCGCAAGAGTCGCGGCGCAAATGTTCCCCGGCGCAAAAGTCACTCGGCGCATAAGTCGCGGCGCAAAAGTCGCGGCGCAAGAGTCGCGGCGCAAATGTTCCCCGGCGCAAAAGTCACTCGGCGCATAAGTCGCGGCGCAAAAGTCGCGGCGCAAGAGTCGCGGCGCAAATGTTCCCCGGCGCAAAAGTCACTCGGCGCATAAGTCGCGGCGCAAAAGTCGCGGCGCAAGAGTCGCGGCGCAAATGTTCCCCGGCGCAAAAGTCACTCGGCGCATAAGTCGCGGCGCAAAAGTCGCGGCGCAAGAGTCGCGGCGCAAATGTTCCCCGGCGCAAAAGTCACTCGGCGCATAAGTCGCGGCGCAAAAGTCGCGGCGCAAGAGTCGCGGCGCAAATGTTCCCCGGCGCAAAAGTCACTCGGCGCATAAGTCGCGGCGCAAAAGTCGCGGCGCAAGAGTCGCGGCGCAAGAGTCGCGGCGCAAATGTTCTCGGCGCAAAAGTCACGGAACCTATTAAATAACACGGTTTTGTCATTTTTTGGGAAAAGGGGGACAAGTTAGACAAGGGATAAACAGCAAGAAATTTACAGGCCTTTGATTTTCACACAAAAAATTGTAATTTTAGGGTTGTCGTTTTTGAATGGGGCCGTACTAGTCTTTTTCGGGCCAAATATCTTATGCCCGACTCGATCTTTCGGTCAGAGTCGGTCCATTCTGGCAACTTTAATCAATTTATGAAATATTTAGACATTCGAATTATACAAAAATCAAAAAAATAATTAAAAAAATATTTTTTAGCTACTTATGTTTTTAGGCTTTTAATTATTTGCAACCAATGTTCTTTCATATGCTTTAAATATTTGTTTGAACTTTTAAATAAAATTAACGCTTTTTCATAAATAATTTTTATTTAAAAGATAAGAAAAAATAAAAAACATAATAAAATACAGACTATTTTGGAAATACTAAATAATTATAAACAAAACAAAAAAATATTATATAAATTAAGAAAGGAGAAAAAATAAAATTAATTAGAATGAAAGAAATATTAAAAAACAAAAAATATTTTGGTATTTTATGAAAAAGTTTTGTTTTTGGTTTTGTAAAATTTAACTATGTTGCAGTATTTTCTGCTTCTTCAATTATTTCTTCATCATCACCAATACTTGGAGGTTGTGTTTCTATAGCGGATGAAGCACTTCCACGAGATGATGAATTTCTAAGATAAAAAAATTAAATATTGTCCTAAAAGAAGGATTCATAAGATGACATTGTCTTTAATCACTTTAAGATACAAGAAGGCAAAACAGCCGTATTTTAATTTTTTCCCGATTTCTCAGAGTGTATTTTTGGCTAGAGAATTATATGCCCTCCCCTTGTGCACTAAAAAAATAAATTTTTTAAATTTAATTGAAGAACTCTGTGTTAAATTATCCTCAAACCCCCTTTCTTTCTACCTAAAAGTAATTCCATCATTATTATTTTGTATCCCAACACATTCATTAATTGTTTCAAAATGTTGAGAACAACTTCCACTTCCACTACGTTGAGAACGAAGTGAAAGTGTATCTCTCGCAGTCATTGCATCAATTTTTTCTTTTTCAGATGGGGCAATAAAACATTGAACTTCTTGTAAAGGAAAAGCAGAATTTCTTTGAAAAGAAAATATTTTATAAATTAAATTCCCAAAATATTTACTTTATTCTTATACGTTGTTTTTGTTGTTGTTGCTGCTGTCGAGTACGTTGAAGTTCTCGTTGTTGTTGGCGAATTGAACAAATAAATGATTCAGAGGGGCGAATACACTGTTGGGGATGGAAATTTAAAGCTCCAGCACTTCCCCTAGTTAATGAAGTATTTCCTCCTGAAGATGCACCAACACAATTAGAAGACAGAGCACTGTGACTACCTCCTGTATATCCACAACGACATTGAGTCTGTTGGGAATTATTATGGTGTTGATAGTGAGAAGGAACGGAATAGATATCTGTGCAGGTATAATCATCACAACTATTAGTTCTGGCTCTGAAAAAAATTCTCTTTATTAATAAAAAATTAAAAGATTTATTATGCCTCAATGAATTTCTTGAAAGGCCGGAAGTAGGAATTGTAGCAACACATTGGGCTGAACGATTACCAAAGAAAGATGGAGGTACTCCAACAGTTGAAGTTGATGCTGAAGATGGGGTAGTACAGATCATTGAGTTTTGGGCAAAATCTAACTCAACAAGATCTTCATCTAGACTATTAACGTTGTTTAAATGTTCGTCTTAAAAAAGAAATTATGATTATTTTGAATTATTAGATTTGAATTTTTTTAGTCGAGAGAGGGATAGAAATAAAATGAAAGTAATAAACTATACCTGAAGGTGATTGTTTCTTTCGAGTTCTTTGTTGTTTATTCCCAACACTGTTTGCACCAATACTTCCACTACCGCCAGGCAATGAACGGGTTACTGAATGGCTTGAACCAATACTATCAGATCTAGCTTGTTGATTAGGAATTGGACTAGTTAAGGGAAGTTGTTGTTGTTGGGATTGTTTTTGTTGATTTTCCTCATTTTTACAATTAACATTTATTGGAGGAGAAGGAGCTGAAGTTGAACAAGAAGAAATAGAACATAATCGATGAGAGGACAAGGATAAACGATTTCCGTTGTCGTTTATACTTCTAAAAAACAAAAATATTTTAAAGAAATTTTCTGTCAAAAATTACCCAGGAGACGAAGATTCATGAACAATGCATAAATCTCCATGGATCGACCCAAACAAAGAGGACGATCCTGAACGAGAAGTGGCACTTTTATTATGTTGTCGAATATTTGAAGAATTTCCATGAGAAGAAGAAAGTTTACGAAAAGGTTTACTAAAAAATTTTTTTTATTTCCAAGAAATGGACGGAAAAAACAGACGTTAGCCAGGATTTAGATCCAAGTGAAAATGCTCGCTTCCTTAGTGAATCGTCTCCAATAGAACAATCTCCACGATTTTGTATTAAAGAGGAAGAGGTAGTAAGAATATTAGAAGAATCATTATTATTTAATTGTTCATCATCAGCAAATTTAACCTAAAAAAATAATTTTTATTTTACTTTAAAACTCGGAATTACTTGTTTTTGTTGCTCCTCTTCCTCCAAAGGAGTAATTAAAGAGGTTTCCATAGAAAAACGAGAAGACGAAGAAGAATATTCTTGTTGATTTTGAGAAGAAATTCCAGAAGCCTTTGAAGGTGCGCAATGAGAACGAGGTGAAGGAGGAGGGGGTGGTTGTTGTTGTTGGTTGTTAAAGGGAAATACCTTTGAATAAATTTATGATAAAAAACAAATTTTTCAATTTAAAATACATTTCTGCCTCCCATTACAGCAGCAGTCCATTTAGCAGCTGCGGGGTGTTGTTGGGGTTGTTGATGACAATGATGAGTTGGAATAATTCCCGTATTTAAAAGTCTTCCGTTACTCCCTAATTGATGATGTTGGTGATTATGGAGTAAAAGATGATTTCTGGCATCAGAAGTTGAAGAAGAAAATGAAAATGCACGGGGATTTAATTGTCCATTTGCCTTTAAAAAATAATTATTTTTTAATTAAAATAAATTAATAACCATTGATGAATAACAACTATCACCACTATCACTAGTATATGAACATATATCTTCTGGACAAAAACAAGTATTGTGACGATCCCCTTAAAAAAGAGGGAATTTAATTTTTAAAAATATTTTTTATTTATTCACATGGCTGTGGAACAGCTAAATGAGAGAAGGAATCAGAAGAACAGCTAACCCTATCCATTAAAGTATATTCTGTTGAAGAATTGTTAGTATTATTACAATAATTGTTGTTGGAATTTAATTTTGATAAATGTTGCTGTTTCTGAATTTTAATTAAGATTTATTTTTTAGTTTTTTAATATCCAATTTAAATATATTTTATAATATAAATTCACACCTTATGTTCATTAGATTGCCTTCTTTGATGTTTAGAAACGTTTGTAGAAACTAAAGGAGAATGCCTTCCCGTAGCAGCCACTAATTCATCATCCCTTCCGCGTTCACCGCCGCCACCACCGGCACTACTACTAGCAACAGAAGAGGAACAAGAACAACTCTTGAAAAAATTGAAATAAATTCAATTTTTAACTAATTATCATTTACTTGGTCTGCTTCAGTCCCTCCATCTAATTCTAATGAATTATTAACATTATCACCAACAGACGTTTTCATTTCCAAAATTAATTTTCTTGATTGCCTTCTTTTTTGCTGTTTTTGTTGTCTTCTAGCACTCAAAGCAGCATCATCATCAGCAGAAGAACAAGCATCTACACCAGTCCCACTACTTTCTCCACCATCACTTACTTCATCTGGGGGTATTACTAAAGCTTCTTCATCATCATCACAAACAGTAGCATGACATTCAACATAAGCTTCAATCTTTAGAAAAATAAGAACAATTTCCAAAGATTAAAGACTCTCTACCAAATGTCCAGCTGAATTTGTACTTCTTTTTCTCTTAATTGTTGATAAAAGATCATCAGGTGTACAATTCTTTGTTTGCGATGATGTTGGAGGCCCCATATTTAAAGAACTAGAAGAACGAGAAGGTGCAGCACTGCTTCCATCACCCCCTCCGCCAGTATTGTTTT